ATGGTTTCGAGAGAATGAAGAAAGATTGGGAGGAGTTTTACGCCTTTAGAAATCGAGGTTCGTGGTTTTAGGTTTTGCTGTTGGATATGTTAGCTAAAAGTACGATTAAAAGTTCGTTTTATTCAGGTTATCCGAGGGGAGGGAAGCAAGAACCTGATACCATTGTTTTGAGAGGTGTCCCATCACGGTGGTTTGCAGAGCCGAGAGTTTCCTCGAAGCCTTCCATGCTTGTGACACGTACTACTTTTTCCTTATTTGGGAAGATAAGGTGATTGCTTTTGCTCGATTTCCAGTTTGCTATATATTGGTTCATCTGCAACAGAAACTTTATAGTGGATTTAGTATTTGCTAATTTAGTAATTTGGTACTCTGAAATTTCTGTTGCTTTAAGATTTGAAACTTTAAAAGGATTGTCGTGTGCAAGTTTGATTCTTGTGGTTTTTACTGTATCAGGATACTTTTGCATGTTGTTATTGCTTCATTTGCGATTTCTTGTGTCTGTTTTCATCAATCTTGTAGTATGAATTTGCCTTATTATTATACGTTATCCTTGATGTTTCTTCTTTAACTTGCTCCATATAGGAATCTTAATGTCACTGAGGATAATGATCTAGGTAAGGATGTGGATGATGATGGGTTGAACCTAGTTTCAGGGCTTAATTGTAAGATTGTGGTTCAGTTTGAGACGTATAGGGATTTCTTTAACACATTTAAGGTGCTATGTAGTCACTCACTGCTAAAGATATGGGTACATTCCATGGATTTTATATTGTTGTTATCATTTTTGAAGTATCGTGAGCTCGAGCCCTATATAATGATAGATAGTTTAAGGTGTTTCTATGTGATGTGAATACATTTAACAACAAATTGCAAGTAAGTCTTCTGTTTCCTACTTAGGATTTATTGATGCCTAAGATGAAATGGATGAAATGAAGTTATATTGCATGACCATGTTGGTGTGATTTTAAAGATGCTTTTGATGGGTGATAAAGAAATAGTAAAAAATGCATTTGTGAATGTCTTTAGTATGGTTTACTTAGTTTTAATGATAGCCACCTTGCTCTTTGAGCAGCAAGGATCTTGATTGAAGCTTGATTATGAGGTCAAATGGGACAAGGATGGCTTTTTCCAAGACTCTAGGAGTCAAACACAAGAGAAGAGCGGCAGAATGCAAGGAACGGCAGCAGGTCAACACAGAAGTGAAGCTTCAAGTCATGATTCATGAAGCTTACATATCACGGTTCACATCTGATGATACACGCAGAAAGAGGTTCAAGGTTAGAAACTAAATAAATGAAAAAGAGGATATTTTGCAAGTTTCTCAAACCTTTCTGGGACTAATACTTTATTGGCTGGCTTATATTTATGGGAACCATATTTTATAGTCCGAACAACACCAGACTGTTAAAATAGGGACCATTGAATGAGGTAAGGGCTCCTAATATCAGAGGTCACAAACTCCATCCAATGATTAGTGTTTTGCAATTTGGTACTATATAAACTACATAATAATTTTTCCTATATTTATTACTTTCTAATTTTCATTTTCGCATTTATGTTATTCAGTATTTTGCAATTTGAACTACAAATCAGTAATTGAATAGAGACTCTCTCCTAATATCAAGAGATTTTTCTTCATCCAATTGCTAGTGTGCACTAAACTGCAAAACACTTTTTTCTTAAGTTAATTATGTTTATTTTTCTTAGATTTTAAATTTTGATATTTTTGTTTTCTTCGATTACAAGAATAGGTTTTGTCAGCGTATTCTGAAAAATCTCTTCAGATTGCCATTACAGAGTATGAGCGGCAAGTTGTGGTCAAGTGATGTAGATTTGAAACATTTGGTTATCTCTACCAATCAATTCACTTGGGTTCCTTCTTCCAGAGTTGAGGCTAAGGTTCATCAAAATCAGCTAAATCTGTCCATCCCCAACCATTATTTCTAAGGGCAAACTGTCTTGAGAAATGGTGTATGACTGAAGTCATCTACTCCTTCGATTGCTTAATACCAGGGAAGATTATTTTTTGAGATAAAAAAGGCTGTCTAGGGAAGCATAAAAAAGAGAAATATATATAAATAAAAATGTTAATTTTATATTTTTTTATTTAATATTTTT